TGAGGTCTCGCCAAGTTGCCCAAGCGGGTCTCGAACCCGCAGACTCAGGCAATCTACTCACCTCAGCCTCCCAAAGGCGCGGATTACAGGCTGAGCCACCGGGCCCAACTACCAAAAGTCTTAATATGGATATTTACCTTCATTTAATTTTGGGGGGATGAAAGTTGTGTTAGTGTGTTTTTCAGCTTATTTTGTCCCAAAGATTTTTAATAAAACTTTTAAGTGCAGTTTCATGTCTATAAAAATCGAGGCTATCAAACACTGTGAAGGATGGAAGTAATTTTTATGTTCATACCTTTGGTTCCTGAGGGTCCAGTTCATTTCTGCTGTGAATTTAAATGAGTTAATTTAAGTAGTTGGGTCAGAAGCCACTATCATCATGGTAGCCCTGTGCCTGATTCTTAATTAAAGGCAACAGGAGATTAATTTGAAACATTAATTTAAAAGTGCATATACAAAAAGGAAAAATGATTGCAAGAAAGCCTAAAGAACTTTTCTCTTGTCCCTAGATGTAGAAGACAGAAGTAGCTCAGGATCCTGGGGGAATGGAGGACACCCAAGCCCGTCCAGGGTAAGTATATCTAATCTTTTCTCCCACAACCAGACATTCCACATATGTAAATTGACAAACAGAAGGTGAGTTTCTCCCTCCCTCCCCCCGCCACACATGTGTGCATGTGCGTGCGCGCGCGCGCGCACACACACACACACACACACACACACACACACACACACACACAGATGCATGCATACTAAATTTAATGAGGATCAGCTTGTCTTTGGAATTTTTTCTTTCTTTCTCTTATTGGATGCCGTTGTTCACTTTGACACCTGTTCCACTACTGCTAACCAGAAGAAAAATCCCTCATTCAATATTTGGCCTCCCGTTGCCAGTTATTTATCCAGTATTATGGAAGGGTATTTGTTGTAGATGGAACAACTTTAAAAAAAATATTCTAATATCCCTGTAATGTCGTTGGTGTGAATAGACTGCTGAATAACCCGAAATATGTGGTAGGGGGTTCTGGTGTGCCACTGAAAACTCCATAATAAATCTGAGTTGATTTTACTTTGTAAACGTGATCATTCCACCAGCGGGGACCTCTGGTCGCCAGTTGGATTCATTCATTTATTTGGTCTCAGACCTTTGCTACCCTTTCCCATAGCTTTCCTCAGTACATTGGTTTTTCCTTCGGGTGCAATGGGGTGACCATGGAATGGAGTCGAGTGGGTGGTTAGACACTGCGTGTCGTCTGTGTACGTGACCTCAGACGTGCCATTCATCTCCTCGGTCCTCATCTTCCTAAATTTACAAGTGAAGAGGTACGATCAGAAGAGTGTCTGCGTTTCTCTCAATTTAAATATGGACGGCTTTATATGTAATATCGTCAATGGAATCATTGGTAGGCTGTCTAAATCCATGCCATTCTTTGGCTATACATATGATGGCCTGCATTAAAAGTAAACTTAGTGTACGTGGTGAGACCAACACATCTTCCTCTCTCAACAACTATATAGGTGAAGCCTTCTACAGGAGGGATTAGCCTTTTAATGGAAGCGTTCACATACTATTGGGGTGGGGAGAGGTCTCTGTTTTGGCATGAGAGTCAGGGAAGGTAATCAAGCTGTCAGAATGAGGATATTTTAGCAAGTCAAAGTTACACATTTCCACCTGTCCTTACCATCGTGATTCCCGTTCTGGTCTTCAGGATACAGCAGGATCTCTGAGCTTACCAGTAACTTTGTTGAACCTTCCACCAGCTGTCGAGTTTGACATTCTAATGCTTTATATGGATGGGTTGAGGAAATCTTTCCTCCTCCTCATGTTACAGTCTGCACTTGCAGAAATAAATCCATCCCTTCTGACAGCAAGTGGAGATGACAGCACTCCCCTCTATTGTTTAGCTCATTCAGACTCACTTAATTTCTTATGATTTCTCTGTTCAACACATGTAGTACTTTTAATTGTGTTTCGGAGAACAGGTCCGTTTAGAATCAATCATCCTGGTTTGCTTTTGAAACCGACTGACTTTTAGTTTTTGTTAGCTATCCTACCATTTTTTCTCAAGGTATGTGTCGGTGAGTAATTTTGAGTCAGTGTATTTTCTAAATCCAGGGAGTTTGCACGAGATACATTATTTGTGGCCGACTGGTACCTAGACAACCTTGCTAAGTCTCAGTTCTCTTATCCTAGAGTGGTGATGTTATCTTCTACCTTGCAGCACTGGGCTGAGGATTAAATTAGATAATGTATATTAAGCTTTTAGAATACTATCTAGGATGAGGATACTTAATAAATAATAATTAGTATTATGCAATGCCTGGTATGGAACAAGTGAGTGTGAATCCCATGATAGGAATTTAAAATGCGACATCTTTCTGTGTGTTGACATACTGGCAGACTTAGATTACAGAATCATTGAGGCCAATTTTTATAAATGTGGAAATGCAGTTGAAAATGGGGTTGTCTTTCCTCCTGGTTCCAGCCATTCTCTGGTAATGGGGCACGCCTTTCCATTGTTCACGCGGCATCCATATTTTCTCTGTGGGCGGATCCTGCCTCTTGGCTCACATGCCAACTGACACCTCTGAGTAAATTTGACTTGGACTTTATGGGCAGTTTAACCAGCTGAGCAGAATGACTCCCCCCCCCTTTTTTGGTCACTTCATGCACTTCAGTAGGCTGAAATTCGAACCATATAAGATAGATGATTTTAACTCTTTCCCATATGTTAATCAAATTCCCCCATCAAAAGCAATTGACTGAGCCGCTTCAAAACATTGTCTTTAATTTTAAGTTCCTGTTCACACAATGAGATAATTGTGAGAATGAAACATTTCTGCCCAAATTGTCTGCTTTCAAACTTTTTTTGTGGCATACTTCATCTAACCTTAAAAATACTCACTTATGCTAAAATTCTCTTGTTCATGGCATGGTTATAATCTAATATTCTTAACATCCTTATGTGCTAATTATTTACATGACAATCTAATTCTCTACAACCACAATAGTAATAATTGTAATAAAACACTGACACTTCAATATCCTAAAATACTGAATACTGTTCTGCCTTGGTCTTTCAAATTTATTGCGCTGTGGCTAGTTTTCCCTTATAGTACAAGTTTGCTTCAGTGTGGGCTTATCAAAATAATGACTTTAATAGTTGCAGTATACTTTATATACGTCTGGTGTTTTGCAGGCACCATTTTATTAATCATGTCAGCAACTTCCTGCAGTTGGTACCCAGATTATTATTTCCAAGATTTCACAGCTTTTATAATGGCACAAATTTGGACTTTGCAGACTCTAGAGCTCTCTCCTAGCCACTGTACCTGAGAAGGTACAGATGCCTTCAAGTGATTTTCCAGGGAGGGAATAGTGGAGTCCACTTTCTTTGGGTGGGAGAGGTTGCAGTAGTGTGGATATGTTTATATGCTGATTTATTAATGTAAAATTACAAAATACCGTTGTTTTATTTACAGAACTATGGAGATGGGACTCCTTATGACCATATGACCAGCAGGGACCTTGGGTCACATGACAATCTCTCGCCACCTTTTGTCAATTCCAGAATACAAAGTAAGACTAATTTAAATTAACATGTGCTTTTGGAATGCTTTTGGTTTACTATGGAAGGGGGAAGCCATGCCCTAGAGAGAGGTTCTGTGTTTAGAAACTTGGATTTTGAGTCAGTTCACTGGTGGTCCTCTTCAAGTGAAGAAAAGTGTGGGCAGTCTGTGTTTGGTAAGACTGCATCAGTGAGTAAGTATTACAACCACGTGGAATTAAATAATTTCAGTGGAAGTTTTGCCTTGCGTAGACATAAAGCAGGTATCCCGATTTCAGTGTTGCTGCAGGAGTTTTCTGAGTTAACGTTGCTGAAGTCAAAGTGGTGAATGCTTAAAATATAAATACTCTGGGCTTGTTGGTTGGCAATTTTATGCAGTCAGTGTTAGCTGTGAACTTTTATAATGAGGGCTGTGGAGATAAGTAGCGTTAATGGGCTTAGTGTCCCTAATCAGAGTAGTGTGTTCAAGTTGAGTTGTACAGTTTGCGTATGTATCAAGGTGTGAGCGCTAGTGCTGCTGGTCTAGACAGACCCTATTCTCCTGGACTGCGAGCAAGCCATGTGGTAGTTTGAGGTTGTCTGTACATTTCCAGCATATCCTTCCTGTTGGCGCCCTTAGCATATTCTGCTTTTGACTGCCCTGTAGGGGTATTTGTTTAACAGCAGCAATCTGAGCAATGAAAAGATGATTCATCATGGCTTAAAAGGTCCCAGTAGCTGGTTCCTTTAGTTTTGATTGCAAAAATGATCTTTGTTCTAGCAAACAGGAGTTTGTAACAATATCCATAAATCTTTTGACCTGGCCAAATTGTGTTGAGAATCTATCAATAAATGAGGTTAAATTTCTTGGCATAAACTCTTGAAACATACGCCAAGGAAGACATGCAACAATAATTATATCATTCTGAAACCTTAACTGTAAATGCTTCTGAAGAATCTCCCGATTTTTAAGCCTCGGAGGTTATACCAGTTATTTAAGGTATAGACATAGACAACCCTTGAGTTTCAGTTACTTTTCCAGAAATCACCATGAAATCCATCTAAAGGTGTTTCGGGCATCGAACACAAAATAGTCAAGGCAGGTAAATACTGGCAACTTTTTTTTTTTTTTGAGCTGGAGTCTCACTCGGTCGCCCAGACTGGAGTGCAGTGGCCGCTCCCGGCCACCGCAGCCTCTACCTGCTGGGCTCCGGCGATCCTTCCTCCTCAGCCTTCCGAGTAGCCGGAATTACAGGCATGTGCTACCACGCCCGGCTGATTTTTTGATTTATTGTAGAGATGAGATCTCGCTGCCCAGGCGGGTCTCAAACCCGCGGCTCAGACAATCCACCCACCTCAGCCTCCCAAAGGCGCGGGATTACAGGCTGAGCCACCGAACCCGGCTGCAACTTGTTTTTAATGGATAATATCGTATGTTTGTGCCTTTGTCATTCAGACATGGAGAACTACAAAGTTATGTTTGGTCATAGATGGTTCTTATTTTTGTGCTCTTTTGGGTTTCAGAATGGTAAATTTTATATTTATGTTTTTACATTGTAACTAAAACAGTTTTTTGAGTTTTTTTTTTTGAGTTGGAGTCTCACTCTGTCGCCCAGGCTGGAGTACAGTAGCATGCTCATGGCCACCGCAGCCTAGACCTGCTGCTCTCAGGCGATCCTTCCACTTCAGCCTTCTAAGTAGCTGGAACTATATGCGCATACTACCATACCTGGCATGTTATTATAATCATTATTATTATTTTGATTTTGATTTATTGTAGAGATGAGGGTTTGCCAAGTTGCCCAGGCTGCTCTTGAACCCGTGAGCTCAGGCAATCCTCCCGCCTCAGCCTTCCAAAGTGCTGGGATTACAGGCTTTAGCCACCGTGCCTGGCCTAAAACAGTGTTTTATTAAATTGTTGATGGAAAGGTACATCATTTTCTATTTTCACTATATGTGGATACAGCTGTTATATGTATCAACTGAGGTTCTAAAGAGCAACTTTTGACTTTTCTGTGTCAATAGTAATGATTTTAATTCTAATTCTTTTGCTTCCCTAGTCATCTTTTTGTGACTTCATAAAATAGAATAAAACATTAGTTTGAAAATAAAGTCTTGGGAAGTAGTACGTAAAGAATCTGTGAACTTCCTTGGAAGATTCTAAAATTGTTCTCCGAGTTAAAGTAAGTAAAATAGAATAAATAAATTACAACCCATATTTGGAAGTCTGTTATCTACGTACGAAAAGTTTTACTCTAAAGAGCAACTTGATAAGTTAATATTACAGGATACACCAAGCAGTATAAACATATTAAATGATTGTTCTTGTTCATGTTGTCTCATGGGCGACTGTTTTACAAATCAAATTAGTTTTTCAATTCAAATAGTTTTTAAAATATAAGTGGGCTGACAGTCTGGAGCGGAGAAAGCTGATTCTTTTCACTTCGTTGTTGTTCAGGCTGCAAATCCATGTCAGTCCTGCTCTTTTATCCCGTCTGCCCTCCTTCCCATTAAACTCTCAAATATGGAGGCCAAGACAGTCTCCTGCATTGTGATAGGAAATGCTACTATGTCCACGAGGCTCCCACCCACTGCTCCCAATGAAAGAACTTCTCTGTTAGATAAGCTGTCTGGTTTGAAACATGGCTCTTCATTGTTTACAAACTGCTACATTTTCCACCTCAAGCAGATTTTTGCACAGAAAAGAATTGTGCTTGGGCTAAATGGTTTATCTGACATTAACCGCGCAGTGTCAGGCCCGGGTCAGGAAAGTCGCCCTCAGAGCGGGAGGGCATTGCACAGTATGCAAAAAAAAAAGGAGAAAAGGAGAAAAAGACATTGAAACAAGTATGAAATATCTTACATTTTTAGTTTAGAGGAGAATTTTAAAAAACATTTTTAGAGAACCGACTCTGAGGCTGTGTTAAAAACTCTTCCCACTCCTATTATGTCTCATGTCCCAAACGCTTTCTTCATGGGCTCGAGTATCTCAGGGCTGGATTTGGGGAACAAAGATTCTCATTGATTTTGCCCAAGCTGCTGTTTATTTAAAATGCAGCCACTTTTCATATGAGCCATGCTTGGTGTTTTGTTGCTCCTTTGCATGGAAAAGATAGGTTGTTTTCAAGAAATTAAGGATGACTAATTTGCAAATGGTGATAAAGACAGAGACATATTCGTTTAGTGAGCAGTTTGAACTTGTGGGGTATGTGTTGTATTCTAAATTGGTCTTCATGTTCTGTTATAACCTTTGTGGATTTTTCCCTTCTACCAAGAGGAGGTATTAGACTATAGTGTAAGTTTTTCACAGCGATCCAGTATCCACTCTCAGAGTCTTCAACTGACTTTCTTGAAAACTACAAAATATTTCTTTATGTTTCAGAGACTTAATTCTGCCGTGATGTCACACTAGGGTAAAGGCTACAGCATCGGAAATAAATCAGGCACTTTATAGGAGCAAGATTCTCTATTGCCAAATCAATCAAGCCTGGGACTGAATTAGGCGTCTGCTACAGAAATAAGTGACACTAATTTTACCGGAAAGAGTTATTAACTGCAGATGACCTGATTTTTTTTTTTTCATTTGGTAAACTGTTCACTTAGTAAGGTTTTATTGTATTGTAAGTAAAGAAAAAAGTACCGCCCAGTTCTCCTTTTGAGAATGAATTATTATTAATTATTTGTTTTGTTCTTTATGACAATGCAATTTTAGGGAAATGACTCAGGCATTGCTGATATTGTTTATACACTCTTTTATGGTAACAAAACCCTTTATTACAACTCTGAACTTTGATTTCACTTGAATGGTTTTGCATAAATGTTACAGTTTTTATAATACAGTACTTTTATTTGGTACCAAGATATCAAAGCTCAGTTTATTTGTGTCTGTATCTTAAATTTATACATAATGGGATATAATCTATAAGAGTAATAGCATTTCTGTTAATTCTTTTAGAAATAAGCTTAGGTATCTGAGAAATAGCACTCTATTCGATAGTTTGCGAATCCCTAAAGTAAAAATAAACAAATGAACAAGTGTGTGCTTGTACATGCTTGCGTACACATGTGTGTACATACAAAATGTGCGTATTACGCTAGAATTAATGACACTTTTTGGTATATAAAGTTGTTCTACATGTTACATTGCTGTCTGTAGTTAAATTGTCGTAGAAAGTTTTAGTGGCTGATATTGTGCAAATCTTTTACGGAAAAACACAACTAAAGTAAACAAAAAGCAAGCTCCTAAATTATTTTTTAAAAATAGGGTAAAACCTTTCATTTTTGTTTTGATAGCCAGGTTGAGAGGCTTCAGCACTGTCTGCCTTCACTGAGGATTCATATGCTTTTTTTTTCTTAGATTAGACAATATAATTTATTTAGAAAGTGAATTTGAGAGAGAGAGAGAAAGGAGTTCGCCTCCCCAAGGGAGGGGAGGGGGCCAAAGCCAGGAAACATGGCCTGGCCATAGCTTAGCAAGGAAATGACCGCAATGGCCTTGCAATGACCGGATTCGTATACACTTACCTGATGTTTACTGGGTACTCACTCACTGCTTTCATTGTATGGATACAAGCCAGTTTGCATTTTGCGATTGTTGAAATTCCATGCAGCATTTTGTATCTGGAGAAAACAAACCACTTCTTCCTTGTGACTGTTTATCATCATGAATAATGATAATGTCCTCTGGAGCAGTTGGGAACGTGTTCACTGCGGTTTTTAAATAGTTTGGTGAGACCCTCCTAGACGGTCAGTTTTCAGAATGTGCTTCCAGAATGTGCTGTTGATAGGACAGACGGGCCATGAGTTTGACTTCTGTTTTGTTTTTTCAAAGAGGATTATTTTTATATACTATAGAAGAGTCTGAAAATCCTGGCAAGAAGTATACGGAAACAATATGGATTGTTTTTAACGTTTCCTAATTTTTCCCCCCTTTGTTGGGCGTTAAACTCTTGAAGGTATTGTCCAAATATTGTCACAATGGTAGACGATATATTTTCTAGCTAAAAAAACTCTGACCCAAGGAAGGATCTAG